TAAGTTTTTATCTTTATTTTTAAACTACTTTTGGTTTTAATCGAGACTTCTTGTTGGTTTGACAATGATTTTTACTTTTAAACTAAAGTGTGGATTTGATTTCTCCATGGATTCTGAGTAGTTTTCTTTATCTTTCTCCTTAAAATGATAAGTAATTAAAGTGTTAGATGGAATTTGTAGAGAGTATTAATCTTTAATGTTGAAAGATGTAGTGATGATTTAATTCCATGCACTTCATTTACTTCTTGATTTGACAATTTGTTATGAGAATATTTAATAACCAGGCTGATATTGTCTCAGTCAACAATCGGAAAGAATCACATGAGGTTATATGAATGAGAATGTAATTAATATGATTAAGTGCAAATAAATAGGAAAATAATCTTTAAAGGGTGTAGAGTTAAAGGACTTTAAAGTGACAGGTTAAAGCCCCCAACTTGGTTTATTATTTTATGTTCTGATACGAGATGTTAGCCCCCAGGTGGAGGGAATCGAGGGAAACTCTAGAGTGAGAGCTAGTATCTTTCCTACCTAGTCTGTCTTCAGAACTATTCAAACTTTAAACTATTCAATATTATTTATAGCATCTCTAGTAAGGGTAAAAAATAATATTGCTCCTATTTGACTAAGCGACTGGTGACTACTCTCCTTGTTGAACGAGAGCATCTAAATAAGGACCTATTGAATGTTGTCATTGATCGCGAGCATTTTAAGGAAATTGATGCAAAGTTTCTAAAGCCTTGCCTCAAGTGTTTATTGATGTTGAAGCCTTGCTGGCCCAGTTAGACCAGAAGAAGGATTGGTTACTCAAGCTACAAGAGCAAGTTGAAGCTCTTCGAGCTTGAGTGGTTATCCTTGAAAAAGCAAATTCAGAGAGGAGCTCTACCATAGTGAAGAATGAAGAGGAGATCATCTGCATCTATCTTTTCTTTCATGATTTTGTGGAAGTTCAATCAGCGATCACTCAATCGACAAGGAAGTAATTGCTCGGTATTTTTGCTCGAGTGAGGGTATACCTTCTGAATGGAAGGAACTTAGTTGCCTAATTGACCTAATGAAGTATTTTCTTGGGGAAGTCAGAAAGGACGACTCTTCCAGTAGTTCAGGAAAATCTTGTTAAGTAGGTGTTCGCCTCTTGTACATAATTTTATGCTTACAATCCTTGAGGGAATTTTCTTTTT